GGAGTAAGGCCTTGATATCGAGTCGTCGTTCTCTCATATTGTTCTCCACGTTATTAAACACATTATTCATTGAGTTTTCGCCATTCAGTTCGTTATTATAGCCGTACGGCTGTCCGGGTGTGGCCTCGATCTGAAACGAGCCGTACTCTGGTCTCCACAGCACCCGACGGTTCGCCCCCTCTTTCTCTTCCCTCACATCCATTACATCGAGTATTTGTTTTGAACGTAAACTGAGTCTAACTTTTTGGTTGTTGTGATCGAAGCGGACGATCACGTACTCGATCTCATCGCCCCATTTGAAGCACCGGTCGATTCGGTCTTTGTTTCGGTTATAGATATTAATGAATTGTTTAATTCCTTGCCTTCGGATGTGTTCCGCGTGTTTCTGGCTTTCCTGGAAACTGAGTTTCTCTCCGACGGCAAACACACCCATTGTTTTGCAAAAAATATAAACTTTTTTCTTAACGATCGGTTCCGTAAATATTTAACAATTGGCAAAATTAAAGACATTTTGAGAGCTATTTATATTAAAATGTGAAATAGATTTATCAGATTATTACATAGCATGTGATATTAGTTTCTCAATGCACTGTATATCTAAAAATGGGTAAATTGTCGATAAAATTTATCAAATCATTTAAATTTTAATAACAGACATATGTAGAGAATGTGTAGGAAACTAAACCAACCCGGTCCTTTGAAACATGCTTTTTAATGTTTTACAATTGCGTTATTAAAATTGATTTTGATTAAGTTTATTTATATCAGATTGTATCAAGTTAATTTTGATTTAATAAAATAAAGTATAAATGTTAAAATTAATTAACGTCAAAAATAATAGTTAAAGTGCCCCCGGTATCATCCCTGTGCTAATGTTGTCCATTCACTACCTCTGAAATCTAACTGTGAACCAAATGAATTGCATCAGTGTTTGCATCAGACTTTGTCCGATAAAACATTTTTAAAATTGAGTGCATTTTGTGTTTATTTTATTTAGATTCTTGGATATGATTATTAAGTTATGATTATTTAATATTTTGTCTTACAATGTATTTTATGAAATATAATTAATTGTAGTCTATAACACGTCTGTATCGGAAATCAATTTATGTTGAATGCATTACGTGTCTAAATGTGAATAAATTCAATTTAATTTAATGGTTTATGTAATATATTATGTAATATAAAAATATTTTAATATAAAATATTTTATATTTACAATATTATTTACAACCAATACGGTCATATCTGCCCCAGGTTGTTTATGGTGGTGCTATGTGTGTCGATATACAGGATGCTTGAAATTAATTGGCAATCATATCAATAATTTTGTTTTAAATTTCAATAACAATGTCGTAATATTTTGAGTATTTATTATAAATCAAATATAATTTTTACTTTAAGTTAAAAATTAGTAATTAATATTAGTATTATATTAATGTTGTGTAATTTAGCCAATCTGTTTGATGTATAAATTTTATAATTAGATCTATTATATTGAATAACTGTATAATCAAGTTTACATTAACTTATAGGAATAGATGACCACAAAATGCACTGGTGAAAGAATAAGCATTTTGTCTCATTAAAGTGACAATAATTAGTTTATATTAATTATAATTGTAATCATTTAATACATTTAACTCTCCATATCTCGAACCCTCTGTTACTCGGAATCCTCTATAACTCTAACTATTATCAAAGACCCGATTCATTCCCAAAGACACCGCACTATAAAAACCTCCAAAAACTCAAACCTTTGTATTTCGAAACGAACACTATTTTCGCAGACCTTTTACTGCAGATTAGATTAGATAGTAATCATTATTATCAATGATAGTAATAAAAATTTGTACAGTGTTTTAAATTTTATTGCATTACCATTGAGTTTATTACCACTAATTCAAAACATAGCTAGTTAAACATTTTGGTAATTATAAATTATTCATATATAAATATTAAATATCAAAATTTTCTTCTGCGATATTGGGAATGGGATCGGGATCGGGAATGGGATCGGGATAGGCAATGGCTTCGGGATCAGCAATGGCTTCGGGATCGGCAATGGCTTCGGGTTCGGCAATAGCTTCTGGTTCAGCAATGGCTTCGGCCTCAGGTTCCGGGTTTGGGATGGCGTTAGCCTCCGGTTCAGCTGTAGTGTTGATAATAATAATAAATTATTAAATGAGTTAATTTAAAGTGATTATATTAGATATAATACATACGAATTGGATCGGCCGACACCATATAAGTGCTGATGGTCAATAGGGCCACGATTACCAGGATTGTTGTTGTTGTATGCATTTTAGTGATTGTTAACCTTATGCTTTACGGTTTATAACTGTAATGTTTTATTGTAGCGGTTGTTATATAAGAAAATTATTTGCAACATCAAATCCAGATGGTTTAGGTAAGGACCAACCCATTTAGAATGTAATGCATGTAGAATTTAAATTAAATTGTAGATGATTGTGTAATTGTCTACACTGTTCAGTAGATGAAGTGTACAGTATATAATAATATGACACCATTAGAGACGATATACCCCTGTTATGTGCGTTCGTGTGATTTCATAAGAGTTAATTTGTGGATAATTGTACGTACAGTAACTTAATTATTATTTTTGGAATACATAAAGTTAATTAAAACAAAATATTTAATTATTTATTTAATTAATTTACTTTAAACAATAGTTTTATCAATTAAAACAAAAAGTTCTAAAACAAAAATAAAAGTTTAATCAATTAAAACTATTATTTTTAAAGTATTTATTTTACAAAATTTATTTAATATTTTCAATTAGTCATCAATTTTTGACATTTAAAACATTTCGTTATCAAAAATCAATTTATTAACACTATTTTCATGATTTGTAATTATAATTAAAACAACTATTTTTAATAAAACAATGCAAAACAACACAAAATTGTCAATAAAAACAAAATCCTCTATAACTCAAACTTTTTTTTCAAATAATTGAATATTTTTCTATAACTCAAACATTTTATAAATCAAAACTTTTAAAACTCGTACAAACATTTGTGTCCCGATTAGTTCAAGATCGGGAAGTTTAAGTGTACGGACAAATGGGATTAGACAACATAGTATAAGCTCTGATGATTAATACGGACATAATAATTAATATGGTTGTTGAAACAAGTTTATTGATTATTCGGCTGTCTTAAATAATAAATGTGTTTACTTTGTTGTTATAGAATTTGTTATAATCAAAATGCAATGTGAGATTTCTTGTGTATACCAATGAGTATAATTTGCACATTAGCTAATTAACATTCACCATCATCATTATTATAAATGGTAGTAATAAAAATTTGTGCAATGTTTTAATTTTTAATAACATCATTGCTTACTATAGCTAAATGTTTTTATTTATTATCGCGTTACGATTGTGTTTATTACAACTTATTCAAATATATCTAGTTAAATATTGTTGGTAATTATAAATTATTCATATATAAATATTAGTCGTCGTCTCCGGAATCAGAATCGGAATCGCTGTCGCCATCGGAATCTCCTTTGGAATCGGGAACTGCTTTCTCTTTCTCAGTTGTTATACATCTTATATATTAAGCAATAGATTTTAAAGCAAGGAATAAATGGTTTTAATGCAAAAACTTATTGAAGTGAACAGAAAAACGAGAATTAATCAAATTCTGAGTTTTATTCTCAAGACTTGTTTTTCTTCGTAACAAAAAATTCAATACAAAGAAAATAATAGATAAATGAAGAAAAGGAGAAATAATATATTAGTTAAGACATGTATTCAATGTCTTTAATTTGTTAATTCAATTGACTATACAGTGAGAAATGAATTAGATTTTCAGACAAAAGTCGTTAAATATTTTATTTATTTGAAATTCGCGTCAAAAGAAAAAATGCAATAATTTTAATGAAAAACAAATAATATTTGGAAAATAATATTGTTATAAACACAACCTCATAGCTATTGATATAATAGGTTATGATTAAAAATAAATATTTGTTTTTAAATTAAATTTAACAAAATTACTTGCCACACACTTTTCTCTCTCTCTCTCTCTCTCTCTCTCCGCTATAATATAAGGAGTGAAATCGATCGATATTTTTTCATTCAAACAATTTTTCGCTTAAAAATACAAAAAATATTTAATATAATATAGTATTTTGAGTTAAATATAAATTTTAATGACACAATCTTTCGCCTATTTTAAAATTTAATTTTAAAAAATATATATTTTTTATATAAATAAATATATTTGGACTCAAATAGATTTTTATAATTTCAACAATAAAAATATCTATAAATTCAAACCCCAAAAGCTTATGTCTAATCAGTTGTTTGCAAAGAAACCTAATTTTGATTCACGCTTTTTATGAAAATTTTTCCTTCAATTTTATACTTGTTTTTAAAAGCTATAGAGAATTGTAAACCCATTTTAGTGCACATTAATTATCGATTTATCAACAAAAAAAAGTAGTGAGAGTTTTAATGCACTGACACTACATGTATGAACAGTTATCTCTGGCATTCAGAGGCCGTAATATATTTAATATCTAAACTAAAAGCACAACACTTTTCCCATCAGTTGTGTGTTTTATTTTATTTTTTGCTTAAAATCCAAACGGAATTTCAAGTAAATTATCGTTCATTAAATTTTTTAAACGTTATAAAAATCCAAATTTTGCTGATTATCACAAAAATGCTCGACGCTATCAATGACTTCTGCTTTTGAGTTCGTCTTTCGCTATACAGTATATAAAGTATATATCGCTATAACATAATATCGATTCACAGAATATTCTGTGGATTTTCAATTTATTTTGAATGAAATTCACATACATTTCCAGATGACATACTGAGTACTAAAAATTGCGAAATTAAATTAAATGTTCACCTTGTTCATTTGTTCATTCCATAGCTCCCCGACTCGATCTGGTAAAGCCTGAAGAAGGATACCATGCGATCGTCAAAGAGAATGACCGGACGGTTATAGTTTCGCCCAGAATTAAAGTCATTGATTGTAAGTATCTATTAATCAGTGAAAACTATGTCTTATTTTTGGGATTATATTTTTCGGGCAAATTGTTTACACAAAACGACTCCAAATATTTTCATTCACTGAACCGTAAAGTATTGATTGAATTATGGGAGGAATAAGTCGGTGAAGGGAATGGTAGACAAATGAGATTCAACTGTTGTACACATTATTATATATATTTGTTGGATGTTTTCAGAGGGGGAGGAAATATAGACACGAAATTAGATTGAAAACAAAATAGATTTATAAAAGGACTGGTAGTCTATATATTGAGTTTGATTTTGAAATATCAGATCAGATAGTATTGCGCTCAACATTTCGTCTCTCGATCTCTTGTAGACAAACCAAAAGCCAAAAATCCTTTAAATCTTATTTGGAGTGCAATTGACTCTATTTTCACACAAAAATCCTTTCATTTCAAATGTTTGATAGGAATAGAAAAGACTTATATTTTAATCATTGCTTCGAAACAACAAAAAATACACACAAGAAATCAATTCTTGAATATAAAAGCTTTAAATAATGAAAAATAATCGATAATTTGTTTGACAGTGTGTTAAACCATTGAACTCATGATTTTGGGCTAAATATCGATTAGGAAAAACACAAATCATATCCCATTTTAACACATATTTAGCTTATTGTGTGTTTTGAAAAATAATAATTGTTTATAGCATTTAATATATAAATTCTGGCACTAAATATATGCATGAATTATATGATTGACACCAACAGCCGAAGTCTGTAGTATTGAAGTGGTGAACAAACATCACAGCGAAGTTCCCTTTGAAGTACAAATAACAGACCGACTGAATGGTGAGGCCGTCATCGAAGCCAAGAGAGAATTGAATTGCGAGAAACGAAGATCTTATAAATTCAGTATAAGAGCCATCGGTTGCAATGGTTTGCATTCGGAAAAGTAAACTTCAAATTTTTCTTCTCTCACTTTTTTATATTTATTTTTGTGCTCTTATTTTGCCTCATATTCTCACGAGTCGTCGTCTCGTCGTTTCTCACATTCTTTCATAAGGAATGACACGAATAGTGAGAAATTGAAAGAAACAAAGACGACAGACAATGAGATAAAAAAATAAGATAACGGAATATAAAGAATTAAACAAATGATTGATTTAGTGTTTGAGTGTATCTAATGACGAGTCTCTCTCTCTCTCTCTCTCTTTCTCTCAACCCATCACTTGCCGACACCAGCGCTACGGTTCACGTGACGGTTGAGGACGTGAATGAATACCCGCCGGTGTTTCGTCAGGACAGCTATACAGTGACGGTAAACGAGGGCCGCATAATCGACCCACTGGTTCAGGTGGAGGCCTTCGATCACGACTGCTCCTCGAAGTACAGCGATATCTGTAAGTATGAGATCATCGGTGGCGACAAACTGGAGGCCCCGTTCGTCATCGACGCCAACGGCAACATCAAGAATATGTTCAGGTGGAGGCCTTCGATCACGACTGCTCCTCGAAGTACAGCGATATCTGTAAGTATGAGATCATCGGTGGCGACAAACTGGAGGCCCCGTTCGTCATCGACGCCAACGGCAACATCAAGAATACGCGTCCGCTCTCGTGGAAGGACTCACACAATCACATCCTAGAAGTGGTTGCCTATGACTGCGGTATGAAACGATCCAAACCAACGCTCGTCAACATCAAAGTGAATAAAGTGTGTCAACTCGGATGGAAAGGTATGCCACTTATGATCCGCACATTAAATATTACCCATTTCTCTGCCATTACTAGTAGTAGTCGTCGACTAACCAAACATTTATTTCAATTTAATATACGATATTTTTCTCTCTTTGCGCCACTTTTTGATTAGTTTTTACCGCTCTATACAATACCGTACTGTACTGTACAGTGTGTTTGCCTTATACGCGATGTGTCTTTCACTTCATTAGAGTTTTGCTATTAATTTTTGGTTAACTTTACGTCCAAAAAAGTATAACACCTTTTCTCTGTTCATCGTTTTATTGCCAGCAATTAATTCACTCATTTCTGTCAAATACTCGTTTGCTATTCACTTCCCTCTAACATAAGCCCTAACCATAGTTTCACTGGTCGTCTAAATGTCTGATTTTTAGAGCACTTCAAAAACTAATCTAAATTCCCAATGATTTGCATAATTTAAGAGATCATTTGATGGACTATTTTAAATGAAATTCTCTAAATATATAGTCAACTAATGTCTATATCTATTAGATTTTTTCCTCCATGAAAAATATTAGACATTATTAAGCGCTTTATATAAAATAATTTCAATAAAAATATTTATTTATTAAATCTCTTTAATGTATTAACAATACCATAACTCCCAGAATATACAGTACTTCCAGAATTTTATATTCAGTGCAATATAACTGCATATCAAATAAGTTTTATAACAATAAATTGAAGGCTAACTAACTTATGTGTTAATTATTCAGCCGCTCTTCATTGGGAAGAGCAATAAAAATGGTAAATAAAAATGGGTTTACTCTAGAGTTTTAGTCGCTATGTATTGACTCGCATTAGGAGTCAAACCATGAATGACTTAATTCTGCGCCAAACTATGTTTTATTAACTAATACTTGCCGTCATTTGAACACAAAAACTAGTGAACAATTGTTTGACACAATTAGAGGGAAAAGTAAGAGAGAAACTGATAGTGAAAATAGAAATGTTTTCTTTAAGAACCGACTCATAAAGTAATCTATTTTTCATCTCATCATATGATGAACACAATAGACTAGTATTACATGTATATAAAGTGTATATAAAGTTTTGTTGTTTGCTTTAAAAATGATGTATAGATGGTATGGGATGTAATGGTATAGCGAATGGAAAAGTAATTCAAAGGCATCACTAGTGCACTAAATCTGCAATCAAAGACTCAAATACTTCATTGATAGCAAAAGTAACTCTTATATATCTTTTACAACTCATTACTGTAAATGTTGTCTTCAAAGGCATATGTTTTTTCATTTGTTACCATCAGTTGTTGCCACTAAAAAACGAGCTGATTTGTAGAGATTGAGAGTCGGGTTCTCAGTAATAATGAATTAGATGCTCAATAAAGTTGTCGCTTTGAGTTTGACGATAGATTTAACATCATTTGCGTCACCATTTGCTTTGAAAATTTGAGTTTTTGTTTGTTTTGTAACAAAAATTGTTAATTACCCATAGATTTAAAATGACGATAATCTCAATTGTGAAATGCAAACTATATCTATATATATATCTATAAATCTAGTCATTAGCCGTACGTTAATTAGTATTCAAATTAGAAGCAGTTTTTATCCGAAAAACTTATTTATCGCACGACTCATTCAGATATACATTGTGTAGAAAAACTAATCTATTGTTAATGTAAATCAATATATATTTCATACACTCTTTAAGTCTTTATCATGAAATTACTGATAAAATATTTTTTGTTCATTTAATCATTGAATGGAAAAAGTATGAATTAAATTAACAGTTATTTTATGCTATAAATGGATTAACAAAAAATATAATAAACCAACAAATGAATGCCGAGACACAAATCATTTTCTCTCATTACTATTCATCAATTTATTGAGTTATGGATTGTTTAATACCATTTGCGTTGAGATAACTCTTAAAGATTGCATTCCGTGACTGTATTTATAGTAAAAAACAATTTTTATTTATGTATTTCTCTAAATCATGAATTATAACAAAGGTTTTTGACATCAGAACCAGTGATTAACTGAACACAGAGTCTGTCATTAAATATATGGTCTCTGCCATCGATATAATAATATATTTACGTCCATTTAGTCGACGCTATACTCGCGCGGATTGCATGTGTTTTCCCATACACTCAATCACTTAACGGTTTATAACATTAATTAACATTACAGGTATACCCGAGAGAATAGAGTATACCCCGGGCTCAGGGGCTCGGATACTGGTTCCGGACGCTGAACTACAACTTTGCGAAGTTCCCTGCGATACAGACAACGTGTCGGTCAGACTATCGTTGGCCACCCATCACATCGGCAAAGGCTGCGATCGCGACACCTATTCAGTCGAGTCTCAGCGTAAACTTTGCGGTCAGTATTTATATATCAAATGATCAGTAATTGATTAGATTTTTGGCTGCAAATTAAATCTAATATATATTTATAATATATTTTCCAATAATAACAAGACTCCGAAAAGTATACCTATATTTGAGACATGATTTATAAGAGAAATACTTGAATGATATCTAAGAAAAGAGAGACTTATTTTTAATTTGATATACAATACACTAAACAGGGATTTATTGATTGATTTCTGCGATATATCAAAATATATATAACTGATAGCTATTATGGCTTACATTCCGATCGCTATCCACACGATTGGAAATATAGTTTTATAAGAAGAATATTTTATTCTTGTTATATTCAATGAACTGTTATTTGTGTTACATATTCTGTATATCTATATATACTGTATATATTGGATACCATTTCCCAATTTGATTAGAAATTATAGGCACTAAAACAAAGTTATAATTTACAATATTTATATAGTTTATTGTATATATTCTGTATTCTGTGTGTATTCTGTACTCCACCTCTAAATGAGAGGAAAAGATCACAAATTGTGTGCAAATGTTTCCATAGTATTCATTGTAATAGTCGACGAAATCAGTTATGTCTTAATGTCTAGAATACACGAAAAGCTAATAAAACCCTCGAATGACTCTCTGATGAGTCGTCCGAATGAAACAAATGTTTATTATTAGCCATATTTTGGCCCTTTTTTTATACGATTTCACTCTTTTTGGGCTTTAAATAATATATAAGATTTGATTTCAATTAAAATTATTCTTTAATATAATAATTACCGAAAAGATATTTATTAGTGAATTGCAATCCAGTGTTAATATTAGGTTATAACTCATAGAAAACATGGATTCAATTTATAACTCATAAAAAATATTGGGATAGACATCAAAATCCTTCGTAAGCCATAAATTAATGCACAATTCCTGCAAAATATTATGTTTGGCATTGAAATAGTGTTTAGGATAAAGGGATGCATTTGATTATCCCTAAGAGCGCAGGAATTGGTCATCCCTTCATATGACAGCCAATATAGGATAGGAATGAATACATTATTCATTTTGACAGACGAGACAAATAATAAATAAAAATTTCATTTCTCTTGCATTCCTCCGGTGGCGGACATTAGGCGCGAACGCCGAGAGTGTAGACCTATTGCCGTCGCCGTCGACGGGCGCCGAATGGACACGAGATCTGCCCACAGATGACGGCCGCGAAAGCGATCAGATCTACGAGTTTGACGGCGCGACCAACGCTGTGGTCATACCGGAGGCCACACTTAATCACAACCTGACCAACAAGTTTACCGTCTCTTTTTGGATGAAACACGAGACCCCTCTCGACCAGACAAACAAACACATCAAAGAGCACATCATCTGCAACGCCGACGATCACAGTTAGTCTCTCTCTCTCTCTCTTTCGGTCTCTAATTATGATTATATGATATAAAATTTGCTGAACAGCACAACACACACAACATTCTCTCTCTCTCTCTTTCTTTCTTTCTTTCTCTCTTTCTCTTTCTCTCCAATCCTAACCATTAATTTTCATCTCTCTATTCCCTAATTCTCTGAGTTATTAATATATGAAAACATAATAAATAACTATTGATTTGTATTCGCATTTTACGATAATTCAGAGAAGAATAGACACCATTACTCGCTGTTTGTCCGCAACTGTCGGCTAATACTTCTGTTGCGCCGGGAGTTCAATGAGGAGAAGCACACAGTCTTCAAACCGGCCGAATATCGGTGGAAATTGTCGGAAGTTTGCGACAACGAGTGGCACCACTACTCGGTTGGCCTCAACTTCCCGGACGCCATACTCTACGTCGACGGACAGAAGTTCAGAAACACGTCGACTAATCCGGAGATTGTGGACGACTGGCCGCTACACGCGGTGAAAGGGGTGAACACGACGTTTGTGGTGGGGGCGTGTTGGGAGGGCAAGAACTCTAAGATGAATTTCCATTTCCGCGGATTTCTGGCCGGACTGTCGGTATTGCGCGCACAGAACGAGAACCCGGAGGTGTTGTCGTGTCTCCATCTGTGCAAAGAAGGCCTCCAATTGCCGGCCAGCGATACACTAGAGCCCGGAACAGAGGTCTCCACTAATATCGACTCCACGTCTGTCATCATCGACGGTAAAGACGCCATCGATGTCGAGGATATGTTGTCTCAGGTGTCGTACATTAATTCGCGCGAATTCCCGACTCCTGGCCGAAGAAGTTTAAGGATTTCCACATCCATTCAGTAAGTGTTGTCTCAATATTATACTCATTTAAAGTGTGTTTACTATCGGGTCCATTGATTAACACGGGATTCTTGTCTACCCATCAGATGCTCTAATGGAAAGTCGTTGAAAATCCCGCAAATCGACACATATGTGATGGTTATGCCGACGGATCAGCCGAGTATAGCACTGAATGGTACGCCAAACCTGGCGCGAGAGTACGAGGCATTCATGCAGGGCATTGAGCTCTTCTCGACGGTCTCTATTTTGGTCAACTCAGAGGCCGCCGACACCGATGACGACGACGGAGACGACAACGACGAAGAGGCGGACATCGACTCCGCCGACGACGACATCAACGCCAACAACAATATCAATAAATTGATGTCCGAACACAAGTTGGACACCTGTAACGTTCAGGTCTACCCACCACTCAATCCCGATCACGAGTTATATGTTGTCTCAGGTGTCGTACATTAATTCGCGCGAATTCCCGACTCCTGGCCGAAGAAGTTTAAGGATTTCCACATCCATTCAGTAAGTGTTGTCTCAATATTATACTCATTTAAAGTGTGTTTAATATCGGGTCCATTGATTAACACGGGATTCTTGTCTACCCATCAGATGCTCTAATGGAAAGTCTTTGAAAATCCCGCAAATCGACACATATGTGATGGTTATGCCGACGGATCAGCCGAGTATAGCACTGAACGGTACGCCAAACCTGGCGCGAGAGTACGAGGCATTCATGCAGGGGATTGAGCTCTTCTCGACGGTCTCTATTTTGGTCAACTCAGAGGCCGCCGACACCGATGACGACGACGGAGACGATAACGACGACGAGGCGGACATCGACTCCGCCGACGACGACATCAACGCCAACAACAATATCAATAAATTGATGTCCGAACACAAGTTGGACACCTGTAACGTTCAGGTCTACCCACCACTCAATCCCGATCACGAGTACTTCCGATTGCCCACCAATTTTATGACACATTTGGGAATACATCACAAGGAGACCAAAGATGGGATTGTGATATATGGTAGGAAACACTACACCATTCGCTAGCTTTATAACCAATTAATTATTATCAGTTCTCGACTTAAAAATGCTTATCTTATGTTAAAACACACGCTTTCATACATTATATAAAAGTCATATTAATTGCTTTTAACAATGGCTTTGACACACCATTTACAACACTAAATGATTAAAACAGTGAAAAACGCTAATCGCTATTAATATTATTAATTATACCTTATATTTGACTTTCGTATGCATTTGACGTTTAGGAGCGGATTCTGTACACAATTATCAGCAGATTCTGCGACAACTGGTCTACTTTAACCGAAAGCCGGCCTATTATTTGAATCGTGCCTTTAAGCTCACCTGTTCTGAACTGAACGGCCGCTTCTCCAGCAATGACTACATCCAAACACTGACTGTAATCCACCCTAAAGTCGAACAACAATCCAAACAACAGGCGTCGGCGCCGATGGCCGGCCCTCAGCCCAAGTCTGTGCTCCACCCGAACGACCATATGATGATTCAGAGCCAGCAGTCGGCCGCCGACCTCGTGTCGGGTGCGGTCGTCTCTCCCGCACACTCGCAGGTCAGCGACCATAAGGTGGAGTTCAAAGATGGCCGCATTAAGAGCGCCACCGGTTTTCTCGAGGGCGGAGGGCTTATCGACGCGTCCGACGCTTTCGGCCGAACCACAGCCAGTGAGTCATCTTTTTGGCCACTTTTTGCACAATTATATTACATATTTATATTATGGGTGTTTAGCGTATGAATGAATGATTAGCTTATAATACTTGGCAACTATTTTGTGACACTTGTAGTGAATGCCCGCCTTTCGCCCATCGTTGTAGGTCATGCGGTTACCATCATAATCGTGGTCTGTGTCGGCTTTTTGGTCTTCATGATCGTCTTGGGAGTGATCCGTATCCGCGCCGCTCATCAACGGTCCGGCGATGCCAGAGATGACGACCAGGAGATGGCTTGGGATGACTCGTCGCTTACCATTACAGTCAATCCATTGGATGTATGTATCGATCGACTCTTCTTTTTATGTACTTCTCATTAAATTTGAAGCAAAATTTATTTTTTGATATGATTTTGCGATCTCAGCGTGAGTTTTGTGTCCAAATACACTATAAATGAAATCATTATTTTAGTATTAAAAACGCATACAGTTTTTGGTAGTGTTTTATAAATTTTAATCATTCGCTGTATGTTTTGGCTTATAATTAGATTTATGGCAATTTATTTTACAGAAGACACTGTTATTACAACCAATTATTTGCGTTAAATAGCAGTAATTTTTCAGTTTATCAATAATTACCATATTCTTAAATAATAGATTCATTGGATCGATAACTAAAAAAATACTACAATTTACTGCATTTTTTATTATAACTTATTTAATATTCTGAAAGCATTTCTTGTGTTTTATTGAATTTTACAGAAATTAATATTAATTGAAATCCTAACGACCTTTTGCTGCGCTAATTATAACATAAAATTCAATTTAAACCAAACATTAACTCTAGTCATAGAATATATACCATAAAAGCGTATAACTTAACGACATTACATGATATATAAATCGGATGAGAAAATAGCCTAATTTTATATGTTTTGTACAATTAAACAGTGTCTGCATTAACTTTTTTGTCGGTAATTTAACCATTAATTAATTGATTACTAATAAAAACACAAATTTTTATCTGTTTTGGCCCTAAATAAGCAGCAAATAGAAGAACACGAAACCCAACAAATAGCGGACGACGACGAGGACAGCGATAGTTCAGACGATGGGAGCAGTTATCACGAGGACGGGGACAGCACTGAAGACGAGGCACAGGACAAGGCCTCTAAAGCCCGGCGAGAGCTCGAATGGGACGACTCGACACTCAATTTCTAATGCCATTCAATTAGACGAGTGATAAACGAAACAACAAAACAACCAAAAAAACAGAAAAAGTATTAAAAGCGTCAAAACAGAGACAGAAAGATGACAGTCGGCTAAGAGATTGGATCAATCGATTGCCAGACAATTGATTGATTAAATCTCTTAGTCTTTTGCCAATTTTAAGACAAACAAAAAAGCATTTAATTATTTATATAATTATTATTACTATTGAATCCATCGCTTCTTCTTTTTGTTCAACAAAAACGACAAAACATCAGAAAAAGAAACTTATTTTGTTTGACAAAAAACAAATTCATTTTCACTTACAAAACAAATATAATTAAAATGATTAAAAGACAGACAACTAACATATACAACTGAATTCATACTATTAGTTATTAATTGTAATAAGTTTTCATTGTTTTAATTGATATAAAAAATTTTAAGGAATTGTTTTCTATTCTGTGACAAAAATGCCATTTAAAAAATTATTTTTTTCGGTGCACTTATATCTACACTATAAGTAGTGCACATATACTACCAGTGCATCCATTGGATTGATTGGGAAAAGAAAATGCAGCATAAAATACAAGAATTTATTTCACATGACATACACCTACAGAAACAACACCAGAGAAATATATACCCAAACGATAGTCTATTAATTAATGTTAACAGAAATAGTCGTTTTCTTTTTGTCACTTATAATTATTCTTGTGTTTGAAGTTTCAAACAAAACCTGTGGTAAAGTATTACTTTCTTAAATACCATCTTCATTATTATGAATAATAATAATAATTACTATATTTTGTGCAAAAAAGAAATGCAAAAAAGTAATTATAATTAATAAGTATTTATATTTATTGATAATAAGTCACAGAATCTAAGAAATATAACCGTAAAAACACTTCGCTTGTCATTTATAGCTATAGTTTTGTCTTTTTTTAATTATTTGCCAATTATTAGCAAACTATTACTATAATTATAAGAAATGTATCATTTTGTATGATTTTTACTCATTAATTAGTCGTACGATTCTTATAGTGCCATAAAATATTTCTCATTATATTTATTTTGCAGTTATTCTGACTTTGAAAATGTTGTTTAAATATCTCTATATAAATATACTGTATATTCTTAATGTCCTATAATTATGTGAAAAATACTGATTTGAAAAATAACTAATGAAACAAAACAGACAGAAAAACACATAGTAATCGATCGGAAAAGAAGCTGCATTTGATTTACACATATCTTTTGAAATACCATAATGAAAAAACTTGTATACCATTTACTAAACAAAAACCATAGCGATTATTTACTTATGACAAGAGATTGATAATTTTGAATGACTGCTAAAAACCAGCCAGAATTTAGGGTTGACTTAAACTCTCCTTACGTTATAATCGACTTTTTGTATAATATAAAGAGCGACCACTTTATTGATTGATTATATATAGGGAACTGATTTGATGATCGATTAAATCCGTTGAGCACTCGTTGTGTTAAGCATTAGAGGGAGAAATTCCTAAACAATTCTTTGTTTCGTTTTTTAGTTAAGTGTTTGTTTGAGACTATATTTTAGGCTTTTTTCTTAACAATTCATTACAAAAAAATACATTTATTGAAAACGAGTCAAAACTCATTTAATTCATAGAATTTAATTTCTAAGACAGACTAAAACAATAATAATTTAATATTTTAATTGTTCATAAAAAATATATATAAATCGAAATGAAAATTAAAATGAAAACTTTATGTCATTATTACTAACATTCCAAGTGATCTCTTTTCTTGTGTTTTTTATTATTAATTATTATTATTATTATAAATAAGTTTTTGTTGTTATACTTATTTGTAAAGAAATATTCAAATATTAGAGAAGGAGACAAAACAACAAAATAAACAATTGATTTATGATTTTTGATTACTAAATGGGTATTTGATAGCCATTTCAAATTAACACACAATATATTATATTTAGATATTAATTATAATAATAAAAATGAATAAAACATTGGGTCTTAATTTCATTTTGATAATAGTGTTGTTATAAATATATATATATTAATAAATTTCATTCTGATTTAAATTCTAATATCTATTATATATATGTTTTTTCTCCAAACAAAAATCTATTGTATAAATTAATTGCAATTCTTGTAGTCTATTGTATATCTCTTATATTAAACTATCATTAATTATATTAACAAAAAACAAAAAATGTATTTCTATTTACAATAAAAGACAGATATAATTATTTAATGAAACAATTTTCAGGTCCACACAAAACATATGAATACAGACAATATAATTGTATTAAATAAAACATTGTAAAACAAAAATCAATTTATAATATCATGCTTACTGTTATGCCCTAAAACACCAACAAATTTAAACCAACAAAAACCTACAGAAAACTATTAAATCAATTGTAAAAAACACTCACAATTGTGTGAATCATAAACTCAATTAATTGATACCAAACAGACATATGATGTTTCAAAATGCAGTCTCTATTTGTGATTCCTTCTCTCATTTGTATTTGATGTATAACTTCTTGCAATAAATATACAAAACATTTTAAAACTCCACATTTAATTAGTTATCGATTATTAATTGCATCAATTTTTTAATTCGTAATAGATTTGACCACATTTTATTTTATTATTTTATATCTTTAATTAAGTTAAGATAAATATTTGGAACGAAGAGAATTTTGTAACTTTAAATTAATTTAAAACAACCAAATCTGACAAAAACTAATTAATAAGTATAGGATTCTATGCTTTTTTCTATGGATTTAAAGGTATTATTTGTTGTGAGTATTAGTGAATTGTCAAGACATGAGATAATTGTCAATCAATACAATCACAGCGATAGCGGAGTCACAGATAATTCACTTAGAGTTCATCGAAAGGTATACTTTATCTGCAAATAATTATTGTTTGATTAAATTGTTGAGTAAAACGACATTTTTGTTCCCATATTTAAGACTATCAGACGAAATGAATTACAGTATTTCTTGTGGACTAATCATTAGTTTTGAGATGAGATTAGGAGTCGAGTAATGAAGAGATACATGAGTTTTGAAGATGTGATGTGGATGTTGTAATTGGTCACCACTTATCATATCATATATACAAAGACACACATAAAGTGTATGCACTCAATACCAATATATAAGATACTCATTTTATTATCAGTGAAAACGTATTACTGATTAAATTAAATACTATAAACTTGAAGACAAACTTCTACTGAAGTTTATATTTACATTTAGAAATGTGTTCATTAGGCAGTCGTTTGCAATTTGTGACACAAAAATGTCAACAAATTTTAGAATTATTTTATGTAAAATATTTCATCGAAATCTTATGGATATGTTTTTGAGGGCAAGAATAAGAGATGTTATATTGTGTGTCTATACTAGTATAATATTAATTATTATTTGCTGTATATTTTTGGTAAATTAATTTCTTATATAATTCAATGCTTTTATTTAATTTTAGTCTAAATGACAAACATTTAGGCAATGCCTCGGTTTATAGCTTTCACATCACTCCCAAGTCTATGATATTAATTAAGTCAAACATTTTGATTGATTTTTATATTTATTTATTTCATTTCGTTTCTTATATTCTAATTGCAAGATATTAACGATAGTAAGTCATAAACCAAATTCAATCACATCTGGAGAGGAATATTCGTGTCATGACTTCCCAATTGATGTGGTCTACACTTGGGTTAATGGCAGTGATCCGCAACTATTGGCTCAATTGCTTAAAACTAAACACGAAATTCAAAACACAATTTCAAGCGAATTACAGGCGAAGGGCAATGACTGCAGAAGAA